AATTTTAAGAACAGAAAAAAAAGAGAGAGAATAATAAATCTATAAAATAATTAAGTACATAATTACCATTCTACTTTTTTAGTACATTTTAAATAATACATTTTAAACTGAAGAAATTAAAAAAAAAGAGAGAATAAAAAAAAGTTGTGGTAACATTAAGGGAATAACAAATTAAGCTCTATCATTAAATCTTAAGCATTTTACACCTTCTCAATAATATTAAATGTTAAGATCTATCATTAAATCTTAAACATTGTAATATTTGATTTATTAAATCTTGTAATATTCCAATTGTCTACTTCAAAAACAAATGCTACAATAATACATTTGTAGTAACATTAACACAATAGCCAATAAACTCTATATTTTAAACATTCCCTTTAATATTTTATTAAGTCATAAAGTCTATCATTATTAAGCATTTTGATATTTTAATATTTTATTAGTTCTTATAAAATTCTAGTTTTCTATTTCTAATACAAATACTACAATACTATCTTATGTACTTTTGCAGATCCTTTTTCTTTATAAATTATACATTACCCTTTGTCCCTAAAAAAAAATTCTTTTTCCCATCTTGTTTTATACCTTTATGGCTTTTCCCCCCCTTTTCCCTTCCTTTCTTATCCCACCTAGTCTTTTCACACACACCCTCCTAACCTCTGCCTTTTTTGCTTCCCCTCTCTGTTGTATTTCTCTTTTCTTTTGCTTTCCAGCATTGTATTGGTTTTGCATCTCATTTTTCTCTTTCTTGGGTGTTTTTTTAGGTCTTAAGTCCTTTATTTTCCTTCCTCTCTTTCTCTTCTCTTTCTTAGTCAGATTTTTTAATTCATTAAAGATGGCTTCTTCTTCTTCTTCTTCTTCTTCTTCTTCTTCTTCTTCTTCTTCTGTTTCCTCCATTTGTTGTTGTATTTGCTGAAAAGTAGCAAGCGCCATTTCTAAAAAGTGAAAGATATCTCTCAAAGAGTCCTTGCTTTCTTTCTTTGTTTTTCCATATTCCTTTCTGAGTTCATCAATAGATAGAGCCATTGTAAACCTTTCTTCTTCTTTTTTCCCCCTCTTCTTCTTCTTAGAACAACCAAGATGTTTCAAAACTTAAAAAACCGTTCCCCAAAGTCCCAAAGTCATCAAGCATCCAAACAGAGCAGAAAGTTCTTCCCTTTACACTTTCTCTTCCTGGGGTAATATCAGTTAAGAAAGAAAAAAAGAGCCCAGTCTGTACTTTAAAGCCTTTAAAGCAATTAGCTTCTAGTCTCAAAATCTCCAAGGCATCTCCTCCAACAAGATCTTTATACAAGTTTTAGTCATCTCCCTTCCCACTTATAACAAAGAGCTTTAAATTTTACCTTCTTTAGAAAAGCAGATTTTTCAATGTCCCTTTGTTAAGTCCGTAGGGAAGGAAAGTAAACTTTCCCTTTCAGCACTATTCGCCGCTTTTAGAATCTCCTCTGGAAACAATGTATCATTCAAAAAAACAGTAGTTTTCAGGATATTAGATATTTCTTAAAGTCCCGGTAGCCAAAAAAACTTTCACTTTAAAACTTTCCAAACTTTCTCCTTATTCCTCCTGCACATTCTTATCCAGTTGCCGGCTTCTTTGTGGCGGCCATTACTGACCGCCGCTCCACCGCCTTGAGAGAAGGGGGTTTTGCCAGGTGGGGAGGGGGTCTGCGACACCCCCAAACCCCTATCTGGATCTCCCCTGTCTTCAGCTGCCTCTACGTGGCAGCCTTATCCTCCAGACCCGTCGGGATCGGAGGCACCAAGACAGCTAGCGTGACAGGGATCATGCTGGATCGCGAATCCCTGCCGCCACCGAACCCTGGCAAACCGGAAGTCTCCAAACCTTTCTGTTTCTGATGGAAGTAGGATTATGAGAATTGCAAATAATAAAATACTAGAGTAATTTGATAGAGTGTTTCCATGTATTTCCATGCTTTACAAAAAAAAAGTGGATGGATTACACCTCAAGGTTCTGAAGGAACTGGTAGACGACATCTCAGAATCACTGAACTATATCATTGAAAGATCCTGGAGCACCGAGGAACTGCCAGGGGACTGGAAAAGAGCTCATGTAGTTCCCATCTTCAAAAAAGGGAAAAAATAGATCCAAGAAACTACAGACCTATCAGCCTGATCTCAATACCAGGGAAGATTCTGGAAAAAATAATCAAGCAACGAATCACTGAAAACCTAGAAGCAAACAAAGTAATAACCAAAAGCCAACATGGGTTTGTTAAAAAAGATGTTAGACTCTAGAAAGAGTGCAGAGAAGAGCAACAAAGATGATTTGGGGATTGGAGGCTGAAACATATGAAGAACAGTTACAGAAACTGGGTATGTCTAGTCTAATGAAAAGAAGGACTGGGGGAGAGATGATAACAGTGTTCTAATATCTCAGGAGCTGCCACAAAGAAGAGGGAGTCAAGCATCTATTCTGTTCTGTTCTGTTCTGTCCTATTCTATTCTATTCTATTCTATTCTATTCTATTCTATTCTATTCCATTCCATTCCATTCTATTCTATTTGTTCTGTTCTGTTCTGTTCTGTTCTGTCTTGTCCTGTCCTATCCTATCCTATCCTATTCTATGCATTGCAGGAAAGAGAATAATAACTTTTTTCCAAGGTACTACTTTTATTGTCTTTCAGCTTAGCATAAAAAAAAATATTCACAGATTCAGCATTCATTTACTGCTTGCATGTTTTGTGAGGAATCATAATGCAGACCTTTTTTAAAAAAAAATAAAAAACACTCAGTTCACTGAAGATTCTTCAGAAAAAAAAACTTATTTTGGTGTGAGTGAAAAAGATTGTAAGACTTTAAAGTATTTTCATGAGAGATTAACTTAAACAAAATATTTTTCCCCACAACTAGATACACTCAAAAGACAAAGAAATTACATTAATTTGCAATACACTCATAGAGCTTTTAATCATATAAGAAATATTTGGGGAGTTCAGTAAAATTGGAGAACACATCTAAAGGAATAAATAATATTACATTGGCAAGGGATAAGGTTTTAGAGAAGGATGGTCCTTAAATTCAATTTCACAGAAGTAATATATTTGAGACACCATCCCACCAATGATGAGATCTCCAGCCTGGAACCACTCATGTGGAAAAGGGAAAGTAGGACTTGCAGGGTAGCTCAGAGTAATGGCTTTGGGAACTAAGAACATCAGAATGGACAACATCTTCATTCTATTGTTATGGAGAAAATGTCTGGCTCTGTCAGTCAAAGAAAAGTTCTGCCAGATAAAACAGGAGGAAGAGAATCTGTCAAAATTAACCTCACGGAGCAACCCCTTTGTGCCCTCAGGTGGCTCTAGAAGTAATTATATAGGTTGTTTCTCAATTCCTATTCCCTTCTGCTGACAACCTTTGATTGTTTTGCCTAAATGGATAGTAGAGTGATTTCAGCTATTTGTAAGGTATATAATTATATTTGAAACATTGGCAAGCTGGCATTTTTTCTTTCCATAGCTGATCAACATCTTTCTTTCTTTTGGGTCACCTAATAAGTGACTGATGGTTAACCAGTTTTAAACATATTTGAAAAAGTAGAATCGGGAAGATATTTTGAAGATTTTCTTTCACTTTTCTCTAGTTCTTCAAATTTATTCAGTAAAAAGTTATACATTCTTTTCTTGGAGGTTTTAATCCCCACTTCTGGAGACTTTAATTTATATCAGTATTTATCCACTTTTGTTCATGATGTTCTATATTAGCGAACAAACTGGCAAAAAAAAAGTTTGACTCATACTGCCTTCTAACTTTCTGTCTCCAATATGGCAGCAGTGCCTCCCTAATCTTCAGCTTCCCTTTTAACAAAACATAGTGAGCCATTTCAACATAATTATTTCAATGGCTTCAAGTCACCTAACAAATCCTCATCCGCTTGTCCTTCTGCTTTCTTTTTAAATAGCTGTGTTCAACCCAGTTCAAATTTCCAACCACAGATGACAATTAACAAATACTAGGGGATGCTCTGTAAGTTTCAGTACACCATAAGATCATATATTTCATCAGAAAGTTAGGAAGTGATTATCATACCTCTGCCATCTAGAATTATCTCCAAATTTCTCCAATTGTTGTGATTTTCTCACAGTGTATTTGCAGATGATGTTGGATTTCAGCTTGTAGCAGCCAATTATTTTTTAAAAAGACACCAACTCTTTCAACATCTCGCCTAATGATCCCACATGTTCCTTCATGCTGCAGACATTTCTAAGAGCCCAAATTTTGCTCATTGCACTGTAATTGCTTCTCCCAAAATTTTTGTTGTTGGAATAAGGAAAAACCAAGAGAGGTTCTTCTCCTTTAAATTTGGCTTCAGGCCACAAAATGTATTCAGCTCCTGTGTGACAGCATTAGTCTTGTAGATTCACCACTGACCAGGGAATCTTATTAGCCACCATTAGGCATGGTGGCCTAGGTGTGGACCTCTAGCATCATAATAAATAAAGGTGTGCGTTTGATCCTAGGTAGAGACATATATATTTCTTTCTAGTAGCACAGGGAAAATATCTGCTTTGAGCTCTGTAGAGGCAGAAGGAAGGGCGTCCAGCCAGTAAATTCCCAACTCTACCCAATGCAAGGGATTACAGGATTCTTAAAACAAAATGACCAGGGCAAAATAAATAGTATCAATAGTAATAGGCACTTTGGTTGCTATCCGAAAACATCTGAAGTTTCACATAAACAACATCAGCATTGACAAATTCACCACTAGTCAACTGCATAAGACAGAATTATTTAGCTTACACTCTATAAATACCAGCAAAAATCATCCGAGGTCTCTGGAAAGAATTTGATGTGTGAAAAAAAAATCTGCCAAATTGATTCTGAACACTTAACTTGTGTGATGAACCATAACTAAAACAAACCATATGTCCTTAGGCCAAAATGAAAATTACATGATTCCTGTAAAGAGCAAATGGTCCATTTATTTTTTATTTTTATCAACATTTTTTTCCTAGCAAGAAAAACCACATGGGTACTAATTTCTCTTTATGAGTTGCTTCCTGAGGTTGAGGTCAGGCCGCAAAACCATGATGTAGCATTTTGGCAGGAATATGCATCCCAGTAATGTAGCACTGGAAGTCAAAATGGAGAAGACCTCCACAGCTACCATGGCTTTTCCATTTGTGCTCAGATAGGCTGGAAAGAAGGAGATCCACACACTGCAAAAGGCCAACATGCTGAAGGTGATGAACTTGGCTTCATTAAAGCTGTCAGGTAATTTACGGGCAAGAAAAGCCACAATAAAGCTGGCAATGGCCAAGATACCCATGTAGCCCAAGACACAGTAAAAGAAGAAAGCTGATCCCTCATTGCACTGTAAAATTATTTCTTGGAGCTCTGAGTGCATGTCCAACTCAGGGAATGGGGGAGATGTTGACAACCAAATTATACAAATAAAGACTTGGAAGAGAAAGCAGGAAAGGACAATAGAAAAAGCCAATCTTTTCCCCACCCATCTCCTCATCTGAGATCCTGGTTTAGTGGCCAAAAAAGCCACAACCACAGTGATGGTTTTGGCCAGTACACTAGAAATGGCCACTGAGAAGGTGATGCTAAAAGTTGGTTGTCGGAGAAGGCAGGTCACTTTGCCAGGTTGACTGAGGAACAACAAAGTGGAAAGAAAACAGAGCAGAAGAGAGACAAGCAGAGTGTAGGTGAGGGACTGGTTGTTGGCTTTGACAATGGGAGTATCCCTTTGCTTAACAAATGTTCCAAGTACCCAAGATGTCACAAAAAAGAAACAAAGAGCAATCGAGGCCAAACCAATTCCTAAGGTATCTTCAAAAGTTAGAAAGACCAGCAATTTAAGGAGACATTCTTTCTTTTCTTTGTTTGGATAATGGTCTTGTGAACATTCAAAACAGTAATCCATATCTGGAAGAAAAGTGAAGAAGTTGTCATCTATGCTATCCATGCTTTTGAAAATCATAGTGGATGGCCTTTGTGATTCATTTTGACTTCTTTCCATTAAGCACTAGTATGATCATTTGTCTGAGAAAATGCAGTTTTTCCTCTGCTGTATGATTTAGACTTCACAAGTAAAGTGAAAAGGGCAATTATACTTTGAAATTATTAAAGACCATGTTTGTTTTATTAATTTTTCCAAAGGATAGAGAAAATTGTTATGGTGATAAGAGGAGAAGTACTAACTCTAAAGTATAAATTGAAATAATCTATTTAACCTCTTCTAGATTTTAAGTTCTAAAATGTGAGGAAGCTAAAGAAACACTAGTCTTTTTATGTGAAAATTAAAGGTTGGGTCGAACAAACAAAATGAATCACCTACATTTACTACCAAACCAAGGTATTACTCTGAACTCTGGTCTGTGCTTTGTGTTCCATAGGGAAAGTATTAATTGTTCTACAAACACACATGCTATATCCCTTTGAGATTGGAATATCTAACCCATTCACAAATCATTATTTGTTTGCTGAAGCTCCTTTCCTTTCTCTTACTTTCAGGTTTTTGTGGAAGATAAGGTCTAGAAAATGGCAGATCAAGAGGAAAAATGTCTTAGTTCCCTCATGGTTAAATGGACCTCAGCTGATGAAATGGTTGTTGAGGAATTTTACATTATCATTTGTAAAAAAAATATGCTGTCATTGTTTATTTAAATTTGAAGTGGAGGTTGTCTTTGAAGAGTGGAGAGTAGTAGTCCTTTAATCATGTTTTAATATGGGGCAGAAGAAGGAGGAAGAAGAGGAGGAGAATGTGGAGGAGGAGGACGAGAAGGATGAGTTGGAACTTTTCAATTAAATCAATGCCCATATCCTCAAATGATATGTTCATGTGAGATTTTCTGCTAATTATAATCCTCCTCAAAGAATATATAATTCCTCAAAGAAAGTTTTGACAATATATTTTTTCTTTACTGTATTGTACTGTACCGTCCGCATCTTTCAACTGCTGGATTGATCTTCTCTCCTTTTCTTTCTTTAATTTATAGGTTAGCCACCTTCCCAGCTTGTTCTCATGTTCAAAGTAATTTTGTTTCATCTTTCTCATATTTTGTATCCATTCTTCCTACATCAGCATATTCAGTTTATGTTTAATCATAACTCTTTCTTAATTTATTACTTTATTATGTGGTTCTTTTTTTAGTATTTTTTTCTAATTCCATGAGTGTTTTTTGCAATCCAGTTTGTTTTTCTTTTTTTTTTTCTTTACATCTTCATGCAGCGTATGAAATTGTTAAATCTCTTATGTATACCTTTGTGGAGTCCCATAGGTCCTGAACTGATGTTTGCTGTTTTTTAATTTTCTCTTAGGAAGTTCTCTAATTCCCTTTCCATCATCCTAACACATCCTTTTTCTTTTAGAATTTCCTGATTTTACATCCATCTTCTCTTTTTCAACCCTTTCCAACTTATTTTAATAGGGTCTGCCCATGTATTTATATACATGGTCTGCCCATGTATTTATGTCAATTTCTACTTCCTCTATATTTTGCTCTATTTCCACATTCATCCATATTCTATCCAATCATGATCATGATTTATGTGGTATTGAATAGTAAGTATATATATTTTTTTGTCTGCGTTCATTTCCCTCCTTATGTCTCTTAATCCCAATTCATTTATCATTTGATATAATATTTTCAGCAGTGTTTTCCTTTTTTTTCTCTTGTCTATGCTGTTACTAACATAATCTTTTTGGGGGGGTTCACTGTTGCATTGAAATCACCTACCAGACATATGATTTCATACTCCAATTCTAATAATTTCCTATATAATTTATTATAAAATCCTCCCTGTTTCTCCTTAGGTGCATATATGACAGTTAATAATACTTTCTTAAAGTTTACAAATATTTCCAGCATTAGAATTCTACCCTCCTCATCTGCATAGACCTGTTTAGATTGTAGCTGCTTTCTAACATATACCACTTTTTTTGTTGAGCCAGAGATTCATATAATTCCCCCAGTTTTGTTGATTCCAATAATTTGCTATGGTGTCTTTGTATATGTATTTCCTGAAGGCATATAATATCTATATTTTGTTTCTGTAATTTAATTAATATTTTTGCCTTTTTATTGGTGAGTTTAAGCCAGTGGTGGCTAACCTTTTCTGTGCCAAAAATTGTGCATGTGCTTGCACGCTTGTGCTTGCATGCCAGCACCCAGAAGGCAATGTGCATCCCCCCATTCCCCCTACACATGTGCGTGTAATCCCACCCCCCGCTCCGCCACCCCCTTACCTGTGCTGCACATCACAGCTGATTTTCTGCAGGTGTGAGGCCTTTTTTGGCCTCCCAAATGCTTGAAGAAGGCTTCTTCAGGCTTCTACAAATTTTGTAGGCCAAAATCTAGTTCCGTTTTGTCACTTCCGATTTTTTTCATAAAAACAGGAAGTGATGAAACAGAGCTAGATTTCGGCTTACAAAGCTTGTAGAAGCCTGAAGAAGCCTTCCTCAAGCCTTTGGCAGGCCAAAAAAGGCCTCAAACCAGCCAAAAAACAGCTGTGAGGCACACACATGCACAGTGAGAAAAGTTTGCCTGCAGCTCACATGCCGGCACAAATGGCTCTGCGTGCCACTTGTGGCATGCGTGTCATAGGTTCACCATCATGGGTTTAAGCCATTGACATTAATGGAGATTAATTTAATTGCTTCTTCCATCCTACTTTGTGTGTATGTCTGTTTGCTCTTGTTTCTCTTTATTGCCTTGTTCTTACACCCTATCTTTTTGATCTTTCAGTTTCTTCCTGTTCCCTTTCCTGTTGCTTTACTTCTCTTCCCTCCAAATGTTGTTCTTCCTGGCTCCTACTTTCAATTTCTTCTTTATAGCTTGATCTTCTTCTGATATTACATAGAGATTGAAAAATTCCCTTGCCTTGATGCAGGATTCATCTTCTTAGAGCTCAGCATACCCTCAATTGAGCATTGTCTTGCTGGTGATGCTGTTGTCAGTACTGAGTTGGACACTGTTTTCTTCCCAATTTTGGTAACAGTTGTGATAGTACATATCTTAAGACTTACAAATTTCCCAAAGTTTCTGAAAAGATACTATCATCAATTTTATCAGCTGACCTCCAGAAAATATCAAACTATGCCAGTTTTTTCAATCTAACTATCATAAACTAATCACTATAGTTCAGGTATGTATTAGTTATTAAGTATCTAAAAATTTGTTAAAGGATTTGAGGAATATAAATATATTATACAAGTCAATCTTACCACTATGCCTTTCTGTATATTATATCTCCCTTTGTCTTTGTTTAGTTGTATAATTCTATCATAAATTTAAGGAAGACCATAAATTTAAGGTACTTAACTATAACTTTCCTTATATAAACATAAAAAGTATAAGTATAAATGTATTTGTATAAATATAAATATAACTGTAATTTATGACCAATTATCAATTGAATATCAAGGAAATATAGACAATGTATTTCTATTAACAATATTATTTGACTATTGATTGTAATTAATAATTTAACATATATAATAAATAGGGTAGAATAAATAAAGTATTTATTTATATAAATAAATGTGTGTGTGTATGTATGTGTGTATGCATGTATATGTATTCACTTCAATGGCACCAAAACCCTAGCCACAATGGTAAATCCCAGCTACAGAATTATCAGAGATGCCATAAAGATTGAAATAAGATCTGAAAGCATGAATAAAATAAATGACTCCACCAGACTATCAATTATCTGGAAGCCTGTACTTACAAACAAACAAAATCTCTACACCACAAACCAAGCAAGCACCTGGGCACAAAGAGGCACCCCCTGATACCTCCAGCCCAAACAAACCCCAGCCAGCCACCCAGATGAAACCTAGCTTCTTAATAAATGACAGCAGGCCATTTGCCTGAAGCCAAGTCATGCTGAAAGCCCCCAATACATGAAACACAATGTTGCCAGCTAATCAAGACAAAAAATGCTACAAAACAGATATTAAAAACACCAATCAAGCAGAAAGCCAACTCCAAGACCAATAAACACAGACCAAGACTCCCAACCAATAAGGATGAAAAAAAATCCATTCAAACGAAGCACGAGGCGAGCACCAAATTTAAAACACAAACGACTGCAAAAGCCTGACACACACGTCGAAGATGAGCCCAATACACCAACCTGATGATGGCAGATGAGTTTCTGCTGAAACATAGCAACAATTTTAAAAGCACAATAATAAAGACATGGGAAAATACTCGAACAAATCTGAATACCATATATATATATATATTCTTAAGTTTTCGCGGGTACTTACATGTATGGTATTCAGCTTTGTTCGGGTATTTTCCCACGTCATTATAGTTGTGCTTTTAAAGTTGTAGCAACGTTTCGGCAGAATCTCATCTGCCATCATCAGGCTTCTGTATTGTGTTCGTCTGTGAGTCAGACTTTCACAGCCATTTCAGTTTTAAATTTGGTGCTAGCCTACTGCTTTGCCAGAATGGTTTTTTCTTCATCCTGATTGGTTGGGAGTATTGGTCTGTGTTTATTGGTCTTGGAGTTTGCTGTGTTCTGCTTGATTGGTGTTTCTAATACCTTCTGTCTCTTTTGTAGCTTTTTTTGTCTTGACTGGCTGGCAACATTGTGTTTCCTATATTGGAGGCTTTTGGTGCGGCTTGGCTCCGAGTAAATGGACGGCTATCATTTATTAGGAAGCTAGGTTTCATCTGGGTGCCTGGTTGGGGGTGTGTTTGAGCTGGAGGTATCAGGGGGGGTCTGTTATAAATATATACATATACATATACATAAAAACTTTAACCTTAGACTGTCTACTATTGACCTCACCCCTTTCCTAAGAGGTCTGTAGGGGGCGTGCATAAGCGCACCATCGTGCCTACCGTCCCTGTCCTATTGTTTCTCTTATTCTTTTATTTTTCTTATATGTACCCATTTCATGTATTCAC